TTGATCACAGACTTTAGCGCATATGCTGGCGTGTATGCTTAGGAGACCATTACAACAAACCAAAATGCCCCAATAATACCAAATGAACCTTGTCAGCAGTTATTTCTGTAATACAGTGTTCTCCTGTTTCGCGATTTTCGTTAAGCCTTTCTTCTCGATAGTGTATTATTTTACAAGGGAAACATAGATCAGTCTTAGCCACTTTCGGCGTGCAATATAGATTGGTTTAACGACAATAAAACAATGTAGTTATTTTACATCATGAGGAAATCTTCGTGATGCAGCAAAGCAATTTGAGCGGTTTGTAGTGTTTAACCAAAATGCTGTTAGTATGCTCAGTAGAATTGTATCAGGGTAGAGTAGGAAATATATGGTATACGCATTTTATATCCTTATTTACATATCGTTATTATCCATTCATGCACCTTTGGTATACAAGATGTAATAATTTCACAAGAACAATTAAAAAAGGACTCTGGGAACAAAACGTACGTGGGGTCCATTTATTTTTTGAGTTTCTGGCATTATAATTTTATCAGTCTGGCATGATCTGTTTGTATTCGTAGGCAGGTTTGTTTCAAGTCGAAAAGAAACCATTTGTTTACACTTACACTGCCATGAAACAAAATGCGAGTGGCGCAACGGGCCAATCAGGGCATGAGGCAAAACATGTGCGTAAACTTAACACGCGAACCCTTTAGAAACTGTCTGGCTGAAAAAAAAAAAACAAACACGCAATGCGTGCAAGAGTTAGGTTTTGGGAATTAAAAGCCCCTGGAGGAAGCAACACTCAGTGGACTCTTAACATTAATGATAAGGTTAATCCAACAAGTTCATCTGGTTAAGATGTAAAGCGAAAAAAAAAAACACAAATTTAGAATTTGTTACACCCAAGGGAATGTGATGTAAAGCCTCCTTTTATCGAGGTTCGATTTTAACAATCGATCAGTGACTTTGTTTATTAGAACTACATGGAACTGTTCCCAGGAAGACAGCTAAATATCATGCAGTCTGTAACAGCAGCTAACGGTAAACGGCAGATTGGTGTTGATTTTGGATAATTTTTCTGACTCATTTCAAGTTGTACCAAGAACCGATTTAAGACGAAATCCGATAGGAAATGGAGCGATTTCAGTTTTTAATGTGGGCATTAACCTTGTACCAGAATAATTTTCAGAATACTACTTATTATATGGCTAGCTCCGTGAGCGGGCAAGATGAATCAAATCCTGCGCTGTGATTGGCTACCC